ACAAACTCTTCCCACATTCCTACCCAACACCCACAAGAAACTGCAACCGTGTGCTGTGAACATATATCTCCCCTGAGAGATTGCAAGTTCTACATTTCAAGGACCTAATGTCTCTTGGGACATCCAATTTCACTGGGTCACATATTTGGTTAATTACTCATGTAGATCCTGTATATTTAGGAAACTATTTAAATATATCTTAAAATTTTAATATATATATATATATATTATTGATTTTATTTAAATTAAGTTTAACAGATAAATGTAAAAAACTTAATTATTCATCGAATTTTCAAAATATGCCATGAAATCCACACACCCCGGGTTCGATATGTTTGCAGCCTTATGCCCGATACCAAGCACTCCTCATGCTTAAAATGTGCCTCTCTCTCATTCTTCTGGACTGCTAAAAAACATTCCCCAAGGCATATTTGGGTGATTGGGAGTAAGGAAGGTACGAGAGAAACACAGAAGCACAGCGGAGCCACAACATGTTTTCTCATTCTCGTCAGTGAGATGAGTTTGATCGAGCGCAGCTGAGCGACTGGCCCGCCTAAACATGTTTTGGCAAGCGCCTCACCTACTAGCCAGAGCCACCTCCATGATGAAGAGTTGATATTGATCCTTCTCCACCGATCTCCCGTGCATTTTAACCTCAGAATTTTAATCCATTCTTAGGCCTCAGCACTATTAAATGATAAAGATCTAAAGCCAAAGGGAAGCTCAGGCCTCAGCTCAAAGTGCATCCAATTTACAAAAAGCGGAGGGAGATATTAACCGGAAAGGAGCTTTTAAAATAAGTGATGAGATTAAACGTGGCCTGAAATTTTAGGGTCAAATAATCTTGCCGATTCCGCCAAAAATTGTCGTGGTCTCTGATTGTACTTCCACCAATGCTCCAAATGATCAACTTACTCAAAAAACAAACCCTTTCTAAAATCGGAAAACGCTTCTTTAAGTTTAATCCTTTTCCTGAGTCATTGCCACTGCCAATATATACCAAGAAAACATTTGGATGGTTAAGACCAAGGTTTTTAAAACCGAACTAGACAATGAATCAGTCAGGGTCGGATTCTTGGGTCAAACAGTCCAACCATTCAAATCAAACAGACCATCTGTTCTAATAAAAAATAAAATAAAATAAAAAACGGTTAAAACCATTGGATGGTTCAAATGGTTTGACTGTCTGAGTCAGCTGTTTCCTGACCAAATCAATGGTTTTTGGCAAAATAATGGTTGTGGGGTAAAACTGACCGATTCCCAGTTTTTCTGGTCCAGTTCAGTTTTGAAAACCATGGTTAAGACTCTAACAATCGAGCTACTTAATCAGAGGTTTTGCGTACAATGTCAACCTTTCTTTAGGGAGGCAAAGATCAATTTAGATCTTTTTTTTTTTGTTTTTTTCCTGAATTATTATTTTTTGTTTTTTCCTGTTCCCCTTTTCAGGGTTAGATGCATGATTTTCGAACCGCCATTGATCTGGACAGCCGGATCCTTCAGCCTGGGTTCTGTCCAGGCAACTGGTTCCGTTTAACCCCAAAACCAGTCCCTGACAAAAACTGTTGAATCAGTCAACAACCCATTGACCCGGGTGGTCAACCCATTAACCCATTCAATGAATTTTTGCCATTTTTATTTTTAATTATATTATAATTTTCTTTTTGTCAAGACAGATTATCTATTTGAATTGAATGGTCGAATCATTGACCCGAAAACCAGTGGCCAAATACAATTCAATTTTCCAGGTCGTTTTTTAAAACAATGATTTGATGAACATTAACATAAAAGATTTCTGGGTCTCGGTTATTAGTTATAAGGGCAATATTAATATTATAAAAACATTTAGAGCAAGCTCCAAACGGTCTATTAAGCTAGGGTAGTCCTATATATATATTATGTGGGGTTGATTTCATCAGGGTATATCTAAGTAATTTTCTAAATATAGAGGCTATATATAAATAATTAACCCTCACAATTTCATTATGTAACCTTGCAATCTATTTTGTAAATATAAATAATATCACTTGTCGGTGGTCTCAGGTTCTCAGCATTGTAGAAACTAAATTCGATACTGGCCAGTAATTCCATAATTCCATCAGCATCTAATTTGTTCCTCAAGATAATGCTGATATTAGTGGAGTCAGCTTATCGTTCCTTTACATAAAAAGGTCGTATTTGGAACGGCTCATGGGATGCATCCTACTCAATTCAGGCACGACCAAAATGCAGGCATTAATATTGGATATATGAGCTAATACATTGGCGATATACCTTCTTCAGCTGTGCAAATATTTTGATTCACTGGTTCTATTTTACATATAAACAGAACTGATAACTGCTTGGCTCAGCTTTTGGCTTATAATGATTGTAATAAATATCAAAAACCACTAGTAGTAGAAAGGTACCACCATAGCAATAGAATATCAAACTAGCTGCATTAAAACATTAAAATTAAATGTATGAATTCTTCAAACTTCAATGAGATAGAAATCTTTTTCCAAATGAGATACAAGTTAATTTCAACGACCCTCTTGAAGGCTCGAACCTGGTTCTGATTTCCAAAGCGTGAGTCGGGCCAGCCTTTCATTCATTATCGACACAATATATATTCAGTCCTGAGCCTGAGACCGAGCCCGAGCCCAGCCCGACCATTGGGCCTAGATTATAAGCCCAAGGCCCGAGCTTAAGCCCGAAGCCCAACTTGTAACATCTTGTGATTTCTATAGCAAATTTTACATATTTAATGCTTCCATAGAAGGCCTTTGCTGGGATTTTCCAACGCCAGTTAGCCAATGTAACCCCTTTCATTTAATTTTCAGATTTTTCATCTATTTTATTTGTCTTGGATAAAAACTCGAAGTTTTTTTTTTCATTTATTATGTTAATATTTCATTCCAATATTCTAGTCTTTGTTTCTCATGGATGTTTTCTCGCTTACGGCATGAATCAGAGAATGGTATCATTTCAACATTTAGTCTCTTTGCTAAGCAAGATAAGGATGTAATGAGAGAGGGAGAGGGGTGGGAATAGAGAGAGAAAACTAAGGGTCCGTTTGGTTAAGTCAGGAATCAGAATCGGTTTCCAATTCCTGCTGTTTGGTTCAACTAGAAGCTGAAATCGGAATCAGCCAAAATTTCCAATTCTGCCCCTATTAGAAGAACCTCAAAAGCATCCACTAATTATATATTTTCAACATATACAGACATTGGGAATTCATGTAATTAAACCGGTTCTGTCATAAGAACTTCCATATGATGACATCTTTAAAATCAAATCATCCTCACTAGCAATTATGATTTATGAATTATATCTAATAAAACATGAACAAATTCATGGTAGTTCAACACAGTACCTAAATATTGCATCAATCAAGAACAAAACTCATGAAAACAAAATTGCCAAGCCACTTGAAT